TTATTGTAGTTGTATTCCTGCATGTGTTGCATTAGACATTTCAGTATAGTTAGGATCATGCATGGATTTCTAACATAGCTTTTGTTTTGGCTTGGAGTACTCGGTAAGTGTTTATGCTTTAGCATCCTTGCATGCGTGTGAGTGACTGCAATGATAGCATGCTTACCATGAAGCTAACTGCTTATGTCATATAACTGCCTGAATGCCTGTGGGTGGAGGTTGGGTTATCTGAATTGGAATAATGCATTGAATGCGAGTTTTAAGCCCATTTGAGAGTGGCAAAATCATGTTTTCTAAGCCCACTTGAGGGTGGCAAAATCCGCATTTCAGCTTACTTGCGAGTAGCAAATCACTTTCAAAAACAAACATGAGATGTTTTGTTCCAATTCAGGCGACCCAGTCTATACTTGTACGCTGTGCGCATCACATAGTAATTCTAGGCTAATAAACCGGAATAAGAGCACATATGTTTTCAAAACTCGATATCATGGTTAGTAAAGGCCGATCTTTGATCGGGCGAGCGGGGGTGCTCATGATGTGACCTTCCCCAATCGTACCTAAGTTCGCCGAGGCAACTCTGGCGATGACGGACACATGGCCTTAGGCACGAGTCAGGGTTTCCTAAATTTCCCAAAAATAAAATATTTAGGTGGCGACTCTGTATCTGGCAAAGCAGTCCATGTTTGGCACTTCTTTCTAAAAATCAGTTTTTCAAAACGATTTGCTAGATTTGGACTCTTTAATGATTCATCAGTCTTGCATTGCACTCAGCGAGATTAGATACAAGACCGTGACATTTGAGTCTTGAACTGTAGTGAACCCATATGAACAAAACGGGATTTCCCTCCCGGGGCATTCGGGGACTTCTACAACTACTTCTTCCCTATCTTTACTTGTTGTTTTTACAATGTTTTTACCCTATTTTTATGGGCTGAAACTTGTGGCTCAAAGCTATCAAAGGTAGAGGGGTTAACCACCCTTCTTTGAACCTCATTTTCCAAGCTTTTGCGCTTGTGTTTTCCATCTAGTTTTTTAACTTTTTCCTACTGTTTTTCAGAGTTTTCCAGAGGCTAAAAAAGTGGTTTTAAGGTTCAAAAAGTGAAGGGGTTAGCCACCCTTCCTTAGGCTTGCTTACTAGCTTCATTTCTTCATTATTGTAGTTCACTTTTTCTAGCTTTTCCATAATAATTTTAGCACTGTTTTACTTGTTTTTAGGATTATTTTAAGGTGTTTATTTCATTTATGCTTTGTATAGTATGCTTGTAGTGTTGTAGTCCTCATAGGTTTGGTGGCTTAGGCCTTAGACACTAACCTATTTGAGTTGATAGTCTTTATTTTCATAGCTTTTACACCTATGTTCACACTTTGCATAATCAACTCTGCAACCTCCCTCCTTTCTTGGTTTTCTTTGTTTGAGAGTTGTTTCAAGTAAGTGTTGTTTAAGCTTGAGAAAGTGACCCTTCCATGCTTAATGGTTTAATTTTTTCGGAGGTTCATTATCAAGGTATTACATTTTTCTCATGCCAAAAACAACTTCTTGTTTGACACTTCTCTCCTTTAGTGGACTTGATTCTCATTTTTGGACTAAAATGACTAAATAATAGAAAGGTAATTAAAAGAGGCTAATCAAATGGGATTAAAAGAGGTGACAAGATAATAAAATCAAGTCGGGTTCAATCGGACATTAATTGAACCCATTGAGTCTTGAGACATTTCGTACTCTTAAGTGATGATAATGGCTCAAGATTCAAGGTCTACCACTTCCCTTGATCAATTCCATAATAGTGAGGAAGTTTTGTTGGTCTTTCATTATCATTTATTGAAACTTTGTCCCTCGAGTCATAGAACATCACGTAATAAGTTTGCGTTGATTGATGATTTGCGAACCGAATCTACCCCTCCTTTGATCTGTTTGATGATAAGGAGAGGCAGAGTGGACAAACATCCACTGAAAATACTCTGTTTCATGTCTGTTGCAGCAGGGTAGTGGCAAAAACTAGTGGCCGGCCGGCCACCTCACTGTATGGCCGACCACTTTTCAAGGCCGGCCCGCCACCTCGTTTTAGATCAGCAGTGCCATTTTTATGGCAGAATTGAGCAGAGGCTGGGGTGAAAACAGTTAATTTTCTAATTGCAAACACTACTACAAAAACATATAAAGATCACACTTTTTTTGTGTGATGTTTGTTATTTAATCACACCTTTTAAGTTTTATTAAAGTGTGATCTTTGGGAGTGTGATTAAAAAGGGTCATTTTTAATCATACCTTTTAAGTGTGATTAATAACATTTACATCACACCTTTTAAGTGTGATTAAAAACATTAGATCACACATTTTTAGTGTGATTAATAACATTTAGATCACACCTTTTAAGTGTGATTAATAACATTTAGATCACATGTTTTAAGTATGATTAAAAACATTAGATCACACCTTTTAAGTGTGATTAAAAACATTTAGATCACACCTTTTAAGTGTGATTAATAACATTTAGATCACACATTTTAAGTGTGATTGAAAATATTTAGATCACACATTTTAAGTGTGATTGAAAATATTTAGATCACATCTTTTAAGTGTGATTAATAATATTTAGATCACACCTTTTAAGTGTGATTAAAAATATTTAGATCACATTTTTAAGTGTGATTAATAACATTTAGATCACATCTTTTAAGTGTGATTAATAACTAATAAAACATGTGATAATAAACATTTAGATCACAGATTTTAAGTGTGATTAATATCTAATAAAACACGTGATTAATAATCAGATAAGATCACATGTTATATGTGCATTTGTAGAATGTAATACATACTATATACTATATTTTGAATCACAACCATATATTGAATGGAACAACGTCATATATTTCATAAATAAAAGTTAAATGTTCAAAAAGTATATACAAAGGAATTAGTAAAAAGTTTTTAACTGTGCTTACATATATTAAAAAATAAAAAATAAAAACTTGAAAAAACTAAGTTGTTGAATTCTTTGACCATATTTTGCATTTCTCCAAGAAATTTCTGATCTGAAAAATAAAAACACAAATTAATTCAGAAACGGCTAGAAGCATATGAATAAACTTAATATTTTTGTAGAGACTTACAAAAGACAAAAATCAAACATTTTCTCATCACACTGACTCTTCATCTCCTGCATCAATAGAAAAGGAATAACTTTGATTGTTACTAATATAAAATGTTTGGATTACCATATATAAATATGACATATACATAGAATCAATAAATCCAAAATGAAAATCTTCAATGTATGAGCAGATATTTTAAAGTCATAAAACCAAATATACATAGAATCAACAAATCTAAAATGAAATCTTGAAGTGATTATATATTCCTTACCAACTAAAGAAATTGTTGATTAGCAATTTAAATAACGGAAGTTATATCATACTTACATTGGATTTCAACTCATATTCTTTAGTACGAAATTAATCCATTCAACTCGCACTTCATCAAGTTCGGTTTCCGTGTAAGTCTTTTTTCCATTGAACTGCAAGAGGTTATTTACAAACAATTAGATAATGAAGAAGACGTACAAGTATCATGAATATAATAATAATAAAAGTTTAGAATTTATCTCACATTTTGTTTTCTTAGGATGCTTTGATCTCCAATGAGGTCTTTCATATACCGCATTACATAAAACCCACATTCCACGTTTGTAGGTTGTTGCGGGGACTACATAAAAACATTTTCATTATTATTAGAAACTATATATAAAGTGTTATGATCTTTGAACAACCATTAGCATAAATATAAGTATGATAAAATTAGAGAAAATGATATTGATTACCTGAACTACTTTCCAAACTGGATGGTCCTCCTCCTTTGGGTAGTTTCATAAATTTTAAAGCACTTTACAAAAGAAATTCCAGATGTCAAAATATTTTTAGAGTAACTCAAATTGCTTAAAAATGCTACAACTAGCCAAACTTACATGTTTATTACAATTTCAAAGCTTGTGTTTATTTTAGAATTAATCGGATCAAGTAAGTACACAATCATCAATGTTAGATCAATGACTAACAATATCGAATGGTACCTACAATTGAACAAGTCACAAGTATAAGCTTAATAAGTTTATTATCATTTGAACACATGAAATAAATAGTTTTAGATAATTACCCAATATTATAAGGAATTAAAATCAATTGTTCTAGCATAGCCTCCTCTAATCTTCTTGCAAGCAACACTGATTTTGATTTCTCTCCAGCCATTGTTTTTCCACTAACGACACAAGGGTTAACAAATACAAATTGTTTTCTCAAATTGGAAGCCTTCAACACTTGATGGAGATGACTAATAAAATAAACAAATTTTAATTAAATTCGTAATTCATAAAATCTGCAGAAATAACTATTGATGTAGTAAATTTTCCTTACCTTATGTACAACATGATACATGTAACAGATAATTCTTTTACATGACATATGTACTCCATGTCTACTCTTTGAAGTTGGATATTGATCTCCTCCCCAAATATATCTTTCTCTAGTGGAATGTCTATGGCTTCATCATATTTGTATCAAGTACATTAAGGCGGTGTTTGGGAAGCAGTGGGATAGGCTATTTTATTGACTTACATTTTTAAAAAAAAATGTAGCTCGGCAGCCTACATTTTTGGCACTGACAGCCTACCACTATACTTGGCAAGCTGTCCCACTGGTAGTAAATTACACTTTTGCCCCTTTACATCAATTTTGAAATAAAATGGGATTAAAGACAAATTTGTCATTTCAACCTCAAACATCATTTCAAACACATTTTTCAATACAACTCAAATAAAACTTCATCCCATCTTCCTAAACACAAAAACTAAAATAGCTTACTAAAATAGCCAAAAAATCAAAAAGCCTAAAAAATAGGCACTTCCCAAACACCCACTAAGTTGTGACATTGACACACCACTGCCAATGGCATCATCACCACCACAAAGCTCTTTGAAAAAACACTAACATTGGCACAACAGCACCACTGGCGTGGCTGCTATCGGTGTCGCCACTATCAGCACTACACAACTGACACATGTCACACACCATAATTATACTAATAGTTGATTAGCAAATTCCTGAAGACTAAAACTAACAAATTAAAAAATTTCAAATTGGAAATTGAACTAAAGATTTGGCCATCCAATATGTTACAGGGTCTTGAGGAATTATAGAATTCAATCTGCTAGATATCCAGATGCTGGAATACAGAATTGGAGCTTAGAAAGCTCTTTCCAATCGAAATCCACTGTCAAAATGCACCCTAGAAGTTAAAGAAAGATGAGTCTTAAAGGCAACACAGACATGCTTGTTTGGTAATACAACTCAATTCCAGATGGCCTTAATCTACTAGACAAATTGAAAATTAAGACATAAATAGAACGCATGTTGCAATAGCTTAGGTTAACATAATTACATAAATAAAAGTCCAATGTATTTTTTATGCGTCAAGTTTTCGAGGATTTGATAACAATAATAATTACCTCTTTGTTTTCGCATATTACTACACTTATTAGGGGAGTTTGACCTGCTTTATCAATAGCATCAACCTCAGCTCCTTCCTCAATTAAAAGTTCACACAACTCTGAGTTCCCTGTGCTTGCTGCACGATGCAAAGGGTGCATCCAACCTAAAAGAAATTAAAATCAACCAAATATTGAGGGAAGAAGTCCAAGACCTATGCTATCAGCAGCACAAAACAAGATTAACGAAAGTATATATATATATATAAAAGCAAAAAGGCAATAGTGTGAAGTTACATGCCTTGTCCTTCAAATTGATGTTTGCACCATGTGAAAGTAGAATTTCAGCTATTTTCAACCAACCCTTGCTAGCAGCATAATGAAGAGCAGTACGACCGCCATTATTTTTCAAATTAACATCAACCCCTGTGCATTCGGCAGAAGTTTAAAAAATGTCGCTGTTGATATACGATGATATCACTTTGACAAGAAACTACAAACTTTGGCTAAACGGCTAATTTGAACAAATAGAAAGAAAAAAACTCCAAGTATACTCAAGATAGATCCTATAAAAACACCAGCAAAAATTGTTCAATAACATTCGTAAAACCAATTGAAGGCACAATTAGTAACATACTATCAGTTAATGGGTCACATCATGCACACCATTTCCTATAATAGTACCAAATGTCTCAAGTACCTCAAAGAAAAGAGATGGTACTTGGGAGGCTCACCACATTGAGGTCAAAGCATAGCAATCCATAAGCAAAGGACATACACCAACGATTGATGGATCAATCATCAATGCATATATAAAACTCTATTCTTCATATCACAATTTACTCTGTGGAATATGATTCAAGAGTGATTCAATCAGAGATATCATTTTAATGTCAAAGACAAATACGTGGTGTCACCAATTCATCTTTGTATTAATGATTTTTTTTCCCCCAAATTCACCCTACTTAATAATGTTTTTGTTGGAATGATATGCATTGTTGGGTGCTTTCCTAATAGATAAGCTGTTGGGACTAGTGGTGAAAAGTTTTAGGCTCAAGTCTCATTGTCTGCATTGGTTTTCCATGTACATTCTATTTCTCTCTATGTTTGAATGATTGCATCTAGCTGTGCAAGTCAGGATTACACGTGAAGTAGGGTGTTAAAAAGCTTGATGTGCATTGTTTGGTCCATTTCTTAACATCTCACAGTTTAAGCTTTTGAGACTAGTAGTCATCTAGCATTCTCACACCCTTGACCACCCTTAACCTCACAGAAATTGGCATATTGAAGGTACAGTACACTGCACAGAATCAGCAAGCTGCTTGAACACAAACACAAACAATTAGAAAGATAAAATGAAGAATTCACCCATTAAAGCAAGCTACACGAACAAACACACATTTTTTAAAGGTCTCCATGAAATAGAATCTCTCAAAACATACTTCCTCTAATCTAAAAGGAGTACATGTGCTAGTCTGCACCATTACATCATGAATGATACCATATTAGTTACAGTTAATATAAAATAACCTTGCCAACCTTAAAATTCTCACAATAACTAAAACAACAACTCTAAGCCAGTGCATTGGACTTGCAAGCAACCCATCACTCACATTCATGCAGTCTTCTTCTCCCAAATTTTTTTCTTTCTCTTGAAAGATATATTTGTTCCTATGACATACAACTAACTAGCTTGGACTTATTTTCAAGACCATCCAACACAAACTTGAAACAAATAATAGAAACTCTTTTGGAACTTGATAAAAATTCCTTACTGCTGCTGAGCAAAATCTCCACAATTTCTACATTCCCACTGCTAGCCGCGAATTGAAATGGCGCCCAGCCCTCCTCATCCGCATTGTTTATACCAGTTACAGATGGATCTGCAGCTGATAGTATCTTCACAACCTAATCAATTCATTAATACAAAAAAAAAAAAAAACATCAAGATCAAAATTTCAAAAACAGAATAGTACAATGCATGTCAACGAGAGCCATCAGATGAAAATTCGACTAAAAGGTTCGATTTTCCTACAAAATGATCCCCAAAATCAACAGAAAATGTGTATGACAAACAGATTATTGGTTTAATTGCTCAGACAAATGAAGAATAAGTAAATAAAGACAAATCCTTTAAACCCTAACGGTAGTTTTGGAAAGTAAAAAAGATGATTTTTCTTTTCTTTTCTTTTCTTTTCTTTCCTTTGATTTGGAAGAGAGAGAGAGAGAGAGAGAGGAGAGAGAGAGAGGTAGACCTTGGGGTGAGCTGAAGAGGCGGCGACGTGGAGGAGCGAGCGGCAATCTTCGTTCCTGAGAGAGAGGGCTTTGAGAAGCTGATCGTGTGAAAGAGCTTCGAAGAAGGAAGAGTCGCCATTTTCGGCGGCATTGAAGAAGTCATCGTCCTTGATTGCTTCTGCTCCGACTTCTAGCTTCTTCGGAGGATCGATTTCCATTTCCATTGAGACGCTTGAACTTGCACGCTTTAGGGTTGCTTTCAGGGTTTTGGCTATCATCCGTCCAAACTACGCACGGTTTGGGCTTTTAAATTTTTAAAAACTAGCCTATCACCGTACTATATATACACGGAATAATTATAAATATTTATATTTGATTTAGATTTTATTTAGATTTTTTTTAATATATAAATTATATTTTTTAAAATTTTTTATAAAAATAATTTAATAATTTTATCACTAATTATAGTGTATAAGAGCAGTTTTGGACATGGAATACTTGAGGTAAGATAGCTATTAACACCATTTACTTGATTATTGGGCATTGTGGTAAGCATTCAGGCATTGCAAAAAATACTTGAAAAATTATAAATTTTATTTTATAAATCTTATAAGATTTGTTTAATGACTAATATTCAATTTTTGTAAAAAAAATCCAATATATTCCTTTCAAAAGGTAATATAACAAATCTACAAAATCATATTTTAAAACTCAAAATTATTAATATTTTTTATTTATTTATTTTTGTTTTCAATAAGCATGTTAAAATATAAATAATATCCAAATAAAATTATACGTATTAATAAATATGACATTAGTTTTAATTGTAATCACAACTTTTTAAAGTCTTTATTCATTTTTAACTTTTTTTTTTATGTTTTAAATTACATGTTATGATAATTCTTTCTTATTTATTAAGTTTTTAAATTATTTTCCTTTCAAAAACCAATATAATAATTTTTTAAAATTCATATATTTTTATTCTAAAATAGTAAAGTATTAGAACTATGTCATTTTTTTTTATAATAAAGCATAATTTTAATTGTTAATTGTCAATACAACAATTTTAATATATGTTTATGAGCAAATATTACAGTAAAAGAACATTTGAAACAAAACTCTTAAACTTACATATAAAATTTTATTTACGAGAGAAAAAATTCAAAAAATTAAATATAATTATCATATCTTTAATAAATCATATTATTTTATTTTATCCCCTGAATTTTGAATTTTATTCCAAATAAGGACAATTGAAAATATCATTAGATTTTTCAACGGTAAAATCATCAATTTGATACAAATATAAACTAATTTGAGAAAAATAAATGTCAAACAAAAATTTTTGAATTTTTTAAAATTATTTCTACCAACTAAAAATAAAATTATGTAAAATTGATAAATCTTTTAGACATTTATTCATTTTTTTACCAAATTAATTTTTATTATTTGTTTGGATAATGATTATGTAAAATTAATTTTTAAAAATTAATCTTGTAATTTTTATTAATTTTTATCAATTTTACATAATTTTATCATTGGTGGTTAAAAAAAATTTAAAAAAAATTAAAAATATTTTTTTGACATTTATTTTTGTCAAATTAGTTTATATTTTATTAAATTGATGATTTTGCCCTTGAAATTAAACAATGGTATCTTCAATTGTCCTTATTTGGAACAAGATTCAAAATTCAGGGTCAAATGTGTCTAAATTAAAAAGTCAAGGAGTAAAGTGACACGAGTCCCAAACTATAGGGACCGTTAGTGTAATTTGCCCTTTTTTTTTAATCACACTTCCATTAAAAGTGAGATATTTTTATTTACCACGGCTTGCATTTACTGTATATCGTTAATGTGAATTCGTGAAAACCCAGTTTTGTTGTAGTGAGGAGAAGAGACCTGTGTGTTTGTGAAATTCAACCTTGTTTGGGATGGAAAGAGTCGTCCTCTGTCATTCATGGGTGTAGAATAGAGGCACAAATTTGGGAATTGTATATTTTATAGAAAAATCAAATTGGAATATTTTATACAATCACACCTATTTAGGGAGTGTGATTAAAAGTAGTAATGTATATATAATCACACTTTAATTAGAAGGTGTGATTAAAAAATATATAAATAATCACACTTTAATTAGATGTGTGATTAAAAAATCTATATATAATCACACTCATTTAAAAGGTGTGATTAAAAAGTAGTAATGTATATATAATCACACTTTAATTAGAATGTGTGATTAAAAAATATATAAATAATCACACGTTAATTAGAATGCGTGATTAAAAAATATATTTATAATCACACTTATTTAAAAAGTGTGATTAAAAAGTAATAGTATATATATAATCACACTTTAATTAGAAAGTGTGATTAAAAAATATATATATAATCACACTTTAATTAGAATGTGTGATTAAAAAATATATTTATAATCACACTTTAAAAAGTGTGATTAAAAAGTAGTAGTATATATATAATCACACTTTAATTAAAAAGTGTGATTAAAAAATATATAAATAATCACACTTTAATTAGAATGTGTGATTAAAAAATATATTTATAATCACACTTATTTAAAAAATGTGATTAAAAAGTAGTAGTGTATATATAATCACACTTTAATTAGAATGTGTGATTAAAAAAATATATTTATAATCACACTTATTTAAAAAATGTGATTAAAAAGCAGTAGTGTGTATATAATCACACTTTAATTATAAGGTGTGATTACAAAAATATATATATAATCACACTTAATTGAAAAGTGACATAAAAAATAAATATTATCACACTCAATCAAATTAAGTGTGATAAAAATATCAATCTAATTTTTTTATCACACTTCCAATAAAAGTGAGATTTTTTTTTTCTCAAAGTGTGATCTTTAACTATTTTTGTAGTAATGGATATTTTGATAATTTTATTTTAGAATAAAAATATAATAAAAAAAATGTCATTAAGTGTGTGAGGAGAGGAGAAGTGGTGTGTGCAAATCGAGGCTCCCGCAAAGTAGAGAGGCAAATGGAAACTAAGTCTGATGGGGATGTGTTTCATGAGGTGCTCAGTACCAGACCGCATCACATATACAACATGTCCCCTGATCATGTACAGAGTGTTGAGTTGCTTGAAGGTCAATGGGGCACTCCTGGTTGCGTCATCCTCTGGAAATACACTCATGGTAATATATATATATATATATATATAAAAGTAGTTTTACAGTCTAAAAATATTTTAAAAATACTTAAAAAACACAATTAATGATTGAAATTAATTTCATATGTGAATTTCATTTTACAAAGAATAAATCTCAACCACACCCCTTTTTTGATTCAATTCCTTGTATGTATGCCTCGTCCATAGACTTTCTGATATTATATTGAGCAATATCATTTCTATATTTAACAAGCATGTAATATGGGTGAAAGTTGGCATGTGTTTAGAACATCTCCAGCAGATCCTGACATTTCAATTTAGTTGAAGTCATATTTTAATATATTACGGTGTTAAAATGTCATATTTTGACGGATTTAGGGTGACTGCTGTGTATGTTGTGCAACTAAATGAGTCTATTTTTGGGCTCTTTTCAATAATCCGAACAGTTCACATTTTAAAATATATTAAGTAAAACATAGCTGTGAAAAATCAAATTAATCGGATATCGTTTACCTTTTCATCCACTTACATTTGTATTCATTTTAATACTTTAAATTACAATTGTTATTTGTTTTTGTAGATACAAATGTGACTGGATGAATGGGTAAATGATATCCGATTAAATTGATTTTTTGCAGGTATATTTTACTTGATGTATTCTAAAATGTGAACGGTTCGAATTATCAAAATGGATCCCAAAATGGGCCCATTGGACTGCACAACAGCAACCACCCCAAATCCTATATGTTGATTTTAGCCCGATGATTATATAATTTAATTTTTATCGTACAATGAGATCGTGTGTACCTAATTATATGCATTCACAGTGCCTTTAAATTTAACTTTCAATTACCAAAAAATAAAATAAAAAATGTACTATAATAATCAATATTTATAAAAATATCAATTCTTTAGTTTAATTTGAGGCCTTGTTTGGCTAGAAGTTAGTTAGCTAAAATAGTCAATAAAGACAAAATAGCTAATAGCCAACAAGATAAAATGTCATATTTAATCTATAATCATTTTATTTTTTTCTCACAACCATCAAATCAATTGAAAAAAAAAAATCAATTATCATTCTAAACACAACTTTTTCAACTAGACTAAAATAGTCAAAAATTCAAATAACCAACTAAAATAACTTATTCCCAAATAGGGCTTGAATAATTAATTAAGGGCAAATTATACACGTGGTCCTTACATTTTACTGCTTGTGTCATTTTGGTCTTTGCACTTTCAATTGGTTCAATTTTGATCTTTAATTTTAGATTTTTGTTTCAATTTGGTCCAATTGATAATATCGTTAGTGTTTTTTAAGAAAAATTATCACTAAATTGATTGAGGTTAACTAACTAAAAAAATTTATAATTGTTTTCTTAAAAATATTACACATGACACTTATGTACATATTTTTCATAAAAAATACTAAAAATTGTAATCAATTAGACTAAATTGAGATAAAATAAAAAATTTAAGGTCAAAATCAAGCTAATTAAAATTACAGTGATTAAAATGATACCAGAATTAAAGTACAAGGACTACCGTTGTAATTTGTCCATTAATTAATTAAAAGTCAATGATTAAACATTCATCATGCTAAAATTTGATATGATGTTCCTAAGCGTGCTAAATTTGACAGGAATATAGCATTATGTTAAATTTGACACGATATATAACAGACTGATATCAAATTTAGTAATAACATGATATATAACATACTATCGGAATTGCTTTTACTTTAACGTTTCCATTTATGGAGTAGTGTGTGGTAGATTATTACTTTGGATATACATAGATTAAACTAGATTTTATATTTATGAGTTGTAATAATTTCTTCGCATTAAAAAGCAAATTTTAGTATATAGTTTTAACAATTATGTAGACGAACAAATAGGAAAAAATTGTGATTAACTATAATTTTACCTTACTACAAGGTTTTATTTTTTGTGAATATGATATCAAATTTTTTTTTTTTTTTTCTTTTTAAAATTTTTCTGCTTGTTGATGTTATTATGTGATATACCACAGATGGAAAGCCGAAGACTTGCAAGCAAATTATCACAGAATTAGATGCGGCGAAAAAGTCAACCACATATAAGGTTATTGAAGGTGACCTCTTGCAGGAGTACTAGACCTTTACCTTCATTCTTAAGGTTGAACCAAAAGGCCAAAACAACTTGGTGACTTGGACCCTTGAGTATGAGAAGCTCAATGAACAAATTGATGATCCAAATAGTATGATGGACACTGTTATGGCTGTGTGCAAGTAATCTATATATATATATATATATATATGTATTTGTAGTTATATATATGGTGTGATGGTAAGGAGTGCTTGTGTGCCTATTGAGAATAAAGACAATATGCATCCGATGAGATGAGAGCTATTATGGAAGACGATGACAGGGTTTGAATCGTATTGTCAGTAAAACTTCTACATGTAAAAAAATATATATAATATTTGGTTGCTTGTTGTATGCATAATGCATCTATATAAATATATTTGTTTGTGTAATTGGTTTGGTGAAGTTTTCTATACTATCAGCTTACTTTCTCTTAGACGATGCCAAATTAATTGTTTGAATTTTTCAATGTTAACGCTGTGTTTGGTTGGGGGATTTGGGAAGGGAAATGAAAATGAAAGGGAAAGGAGAAAGAATTAATAGAATTCTAAATCCCAACTATGTTTGGTTGTGTTGGTTATAAAATAGAATTGATGTCCTAAAAGGTCTCCTATTTCTTTATTTATTTCTCACCCCCTTTCTTTTCCCATATATTTTTTATTATAACCAAACATAAATAGGATTACATTTCTCATTCCTTTTCCAAATCCCACCCCAAAAACCCCAACCAAACACAGCATAAGTCTCAACTCAACTTTACTATTTTAAACTATATGACTTAAGAGTTAGAAGAGATTTATCAATTATTTCAATGCTGTGTTTGATTGGGAGATTTAGAAAGGGATTTAGAAAGGAAAAATGAAAAGATGTGTGAAATTATATGAAATGTAGGTATATTTTATTCACATTTTACCTTGCTTTTTCCTTTTCCTTTCTAAATCCCTCCTCAAATCTCCCAACTAAACACAACGTAAATGAGATGAATTCAAATAGAGAAAATGAGATACTCGCAATATATGCTTGCATAAGTGCAAACAACACTAATTAATAATGCATATCAACGTAGTCACATGCACGAAGGGTTGAAATTCAACATCTCACATCTCTCGTAAAATTTTAGATATTTAACCGTAATGGTGCTATAATGCCTACTATCCTTAGCTCTCAAGAATGGAAAAAGGTGGCTCAAAATAAATGGAAGACACAAAATTATGCTTTGGATTGAAAGGTGTTATTGGCCCATGGTAGGCGTAGATTGGGGTCTATTTTAATGATTTGAACCGTTCAATGTATAGGACTTATCGATTACAACAATTCTGAAAAAAATCATATTGATCGGATATTGATAATCTCTTAATTAAATTACATTTATGTCAACAGTTTAATTTGAAAATCATATTTGTCGTCGACACAAATGTGAGCTCTATATATTCAATAGTTTGAATTATCAAGATAGGTCTGAAGTAGGGCCCATTATAGGCCAACAATATCCTCCAATTTCGATTACGGACTGGATAGGAGCCCAACTCTATTTTTTCAATCATTCTAGTATACTTTTCTCTCCCAATTTCTCAATTTTTTGAATGATTCAAAAAAGACAAATCAATTTCTTCTCATTTCTCCTCATTTCCCCAGTGATTAGGATCAAGAAAATTTGATTTTTTTTCTTCTCTCTCCAAATTACTCTGTTACTCAATCCAAACAGAGCCTAACAGTTTCTTAAACAAACTTAATAGGATCTTTTAGATAATATTATTAATGAGATAATTTAAAAAATTGATTAATGAACTATTTGGTTTCTTAAATTTATGTGGTGAGCTCAAATTTTTTCTACTATAAAAAGTGTCGAGGGCCAAAGTTTTTTCTTCACCACTATTTCCTTCAAATTACATCCTCAATTAATAATTTTTTTGCGCTGTTTTACTAGGAAAAAGAGATGGGTCTAAAAGGCAAAATAGAGAGGCAAATGGAGATCAAGTCTTGAGAGGGGAGATTTGCGCGTTAGTACGGCTGAGCTACGATAACGTCGATCATGATGTTATCGCACGGCGCCGAGCAGACTCCTCTATTGCACGGCCCAGCGGCCTGACTTGCACGGCCGGAGAGGTTGACCGACCAGACACGAACCAATGCCTGGTCGAACTATGACGCGGCCGAGCGCGTAGTGGTGTCTGATGACCAAGCGAAGAGGAGCCTGGACTAGACTTGAGCGATTAGCGTCGGCATGCGCCTAACCGATCGGGCGAGATGGACGGGCTTTATGTGATCAAGAATGAAGAACGGTGGAAGTCTAGCGTTCTTCATGGCCGGTCAGTCAGGTGAGACCGATCATAAATAGCCCGGTCATAAGCATAACACTTTGGCTCCTTTGCCAAGTGGCAGGTCGGCGTTTATTAGCTCGGTTGTGTGCTTGTGGAGAATTGCCTCCACAAGGAACCGGCCGGTCGTGGTACTCCGGTTAAGTGTGCCACCTGGGCCAATGGCGTGAGGGAGAGGACATCTGCTCCACGCACGCACCAATACCGTTTGGCAGTTCTGCATGTGCTGATTGGAGGACAAAGCCTTTACACGCGTAAGGTGGTGAGAGGCGGGCACTGTCACCTGTCCAGGAAAGGACAGCAGAGGTAGTGTGCGCACAATCTTGAGGCTGCATGGCCAGCCTAGAAATAGAAGGAAAGAGGAACGCTAGAGGTATGAAAAATTCACTCTATCACTAACACACTCTCTCTCTGATAGCCTTCTTCTTCTTCCATTGGTCTGACTTGATCGTCGGAGGGTCTATCCGGCACACCACCGCCGGGCAGCTCACCATTTCTGTGTTGCAGAGATAGACGCCGTCACAAGAAGCTTGATGTCCAAGGAGTACGGAAAGCAGAGGATATTTCGCCCCCGTATAATTGGCGCCGTCTGTGCGAAGTCTTTGATACTCAACCCTTATTCTTTGAGCTTCTTTGACCATTTCCATGGCCAACAACGGCGAAGCCCCATTATCTGTTGTCGATGGCGTCACGCCTGAGTACGTCCGCTTGAGAGAAAGCCCCCCGAATATTCCAGCCATGGCGGGCCTAGAGACTTCTTCACGAGGTGCGCGAGACAAACGCGGGAGGAGTACTGATTGCTCGCAGAGTCCAGAGGGCCACCGACGCTGGGGGGAGTCCCATGCGCAGCGCTTGGAGCACAAACTCAAGGACCAAGGCGCCCTTATTCGCAAGATGGCGGCGGAGATGGAGCTACTGAAACGCCAGATTAAAGGGAAGGGTGTTGCTGGAGAGGGCGGCCTCAATAAGCGCACCCTGTCCCCTCGTTGTAGCAGTCGCCGCCAGGGGAGGACTCACTCTCTCTCCATCACCAGGAACTATGGGGTTGGAGATTCCGACCAAAGAGAGGGCAGGTCCCTCTCTCGCGACAGCACTTACCGCCCCTCACGCCCGACGCCGACGTCGCGATCCTCTTTCTCCACACGTTCCAGGGACTTGAAGGATGTATTAGAGGAGAGGGCGCGCCGTCGGGAGGCTCAGAGAGTGCCGGCATTGTAGAGGTTGAGCGCTCCAGTTCGTTGTAGTGAGGAAGTGGCGATGCCAGCCCCCAAAGCGATAGCCCCTGCGCTGGTGGACAAAGAATTGGGGCGACTTACAGCCACGCCACTGTCTCCAGAGATTGAGAGTACACCACTTCCCGCCGGATTCCACCAACCAAAGTTCACTTTGTACGACGACAAGACGGATTCGTATATCCATGTGAGCCATTACCGGCAAGTAATGGCTGGCCACCGGCGCAACGACGCCTTGATGTGCCTCATATTTCCAGCAAGCTTGGAAGAGCTGGGTTTGAAGTGGTTCGAAAGGCTCCCGGAGGGGAGTATTGAGGGGTGGCAGCAACTAGCGGAAGCCTTCGTCACCGGATTCAAAACCAACACACGAACGCCGAAGGAGGTCGACCACCTCCTGGGCGTCAAGATGGAGTCTGGATGTTCGTTGAAGGCATACAATGCGAAATACTGGGAAACTTACAATGAGATCCTCAACTGCCCCACCAATCTGGCGATCACTCAATACAAACGGGGTCTCGCAGTCGGACATAGGCTGCGAGATTCACTCACGATGCATCAACCCACAATCATAGAGTCGTTGATGCAGCGGATCAATGAGCACATTCGTGTGGAGGATGATGTTGCCTCTGCGACCGAGAAGGCTAATCCGATCGCGGCGGACAGAAGGGTGGCGGGGAAAGTTCACGCGGTTGGGCAGGAGGATAACCGCCCAAATAATCGGTCAAAAGATCAGCGCCATAGTTCAAACTGTGATGACAGAAACAAGGGCTGCCGAAACGACCGAGCTGACACTCCCCGTGATGCGGCGGAGGATGCCAAAAGAAAATTGAAGGCACGGACCGGAATCACCACGGTCTTTAAAATCCCCACCTACCACGTTTTGAGCGAGATTCGAGGTGAACCCTTCGTCCGTTGGCCGGCCAAGTTAGGAAGTGCGCAGAGGGCTTTCAATTCGAAATATCGCTGCACCTTCCATGAAGAATGGGGCCACCGAACGGGGGATTGCTTGCCGCTCAAACAACACTTAGAGGAGTTGGTGGCGGCTGGACATCTTGACCAATACATATATGGGGGAATGAAGGACGCACCATCAGGGCAAGCCGAGCCAAACGGCCTAGCCGCCCTGGATGCGGCCTCGCAAGGTGTAATCAACGTTATCCATGGTATTATTGAACCAGCCAGGGTCTGCGAGCTGAGAGGGATGATCAAGAAGGCCGAGCATATGAGGGAAGTGCTCTCTGTTCAGCCCACTGTGAAGAGGGGGAAAACCGAGCCAAAAGACGTCCTTACCTTTACAAGTAAGGATTTAGAAAGGATCCAGATGCCCCACAATGATGCCTTAGTGGTAACTTTTCGCGTCAAAGGCTTTGACATTAAAAGAATTTTGATCGACCAAGGGAGTTCGGTCGAAATTATGTATTATGATGCTTTCAAGCAAATGAAGCTGGAGAACAAAGACTTGGCTCCCGCGACGTCCCCCTTGGTTGGTTTCAACTCTCAACCAGAGTGGCCGATCGGAAATATAATTTTGTCGGTCAGAGCGGGTTCTGTAATAAAGCAGGTGGGATTCTAGGTGCTGAAAGTTTCATCCACATACAACCTAATTTTGGGCAGGGGGCGGTTGCACGCCATGCAAGCAGTTGCGTCTACCTTCCATCAAGTTATGCGCTTTTCGGCGCCCACCGGACAAATCGAAGAAGTTTGGGGAGACCAGGTGATGGCAAAACAATGCTTTGTTGCGGTAAATGGCAGCCGAGCAGCCAAAGGATTCGTTTAGATGATTGAGGGGCCCGAGAGGAAGGAGGTCCTTGAAGACGTAAGAAGGAAGGCCGAGGAAAAATCGGTAGAGGATTTGGTTGAAGTGCGCATCAACGAGGACGACCCGACTAAGTTCTTCCTCTTGGGATCATCTTTGTCGAGCGCTGAGCGGTTAGATTACGTCAAATTCTTGACTTGTAATTTGGAGGCCTTTGCGTAGACGCCTTACGATATGCCTAGCGTTGACCCAAGCTTCATTTACCATCAGTTGAATGTCTTTCCTGATGCACGGATCGTCATCTAAAGGACACGCCGCTCAGCCTTGTACCATGCTAAGGTGGTAGCGGAAGAAGTAAAGAACCTGTTGGAAGCTGGGGCCATAGAAGAAGTGCAATACCCTAGATGGATATCCAACACGGTGGTAGTTCCAAAGAAGAACGGCAAGTGGCGGGTCTGCGTTGACTACAAGACTATCAATCGTGCTTGCCCAAAGGATAGCTTTCCCCTCCCTCGAATTGACCAGCTGGTGGACTTAACCGCTGGCCATCAGAGGTTTAGCTTCCTAGACGCATATCGTGGCTACCACCAGATAGCCATATATAAATCGGACCGAGAGATCACATCGTTCACCACTCCTAGAGGCTTGTATTGCTATAAAGTCATGCCGTTAGGGCTGAAAAATGCCGGAGCAACTTTTCAACGGATGGTGACAAAGATGTTCGCCCCAATGCTGGGCCGCACCATGGAGGCCTACATCGACGATATGGTGGTGAAAAGTAAGGAGAAAGCTCAGCACCTCTCCGACCTAGCAGAGATGTTTGCTATACTTAAACGCCACAAGCTTCGTTTGAATGCTTCCAAATGCGCATTCGGAGTCGGCACCAGGAAGTTTTTGGGTTTTCTGGTCACAAATCGAGGGATTGAAGCTGACCCATCACAGACCAAGGCTATATAAGACCTAGAGCGTCCTAACTCCACGAAGGACGTGCAACATCTTGCCGGGATGGCAGCCGCGTTGAACAGATTTATCAGCCAGTCTTCGGATCGTTGCAGGCCCTTCTTTAAAACTTTGAAGTCCAAGTTCTTCTGGGATGACGAGTGCGACCGCGCACTAGCAGACCTGAAAGCATATCTCTCCTCAGCCCCTATTTTGGTCACACCTCAGCCGGGCGAAGAATTGTATCTCTACTTGGCTGTCTCTCAACACGCAGTCAGCGCGGTATTGGTCCGTGCTGAAGGCATCCAGCATCTACCGATCTTCTATGTAAGCAAGACTTTGCTCCCAGCCGAAACGAGATATCTTCCCTTGGAAAAATTGGTGCTGGCCCTAATGATGGCGTCAAGAAAGCTGGCACACTATTTTCATGCCCATACAATAGTTGTGTTAACCGAGTTCCCACTCAAGGTGCTTTTTGAAAAGGCAGACTTCACTGGGAGAATTTTGAAATGGGCCGTGGAATTAGGACAATATGACATCAAGTTCCGACCGCGCACCGCAATCAAGGCTCAAGCACTTGCTGGCTTTGTGGCGGAATTTGCCCCTGGGATGCATCCGGTATGCCCGATTGATTTGGTTGGTGCTGATTTAGCACAACCCATGGTTCTGGCAACGAAAACAAGTGCCGGTTCGCAAGTAGGAAAAGGGACGAGCATGACCGAACTAACAAAG